AGGACAAAAAAGGGAAACCAAACAAGTAAACACATCGTTGAGTTCAGTCATGTCGAAGTATTTGTGGTTGGTGGTTGAAAAAAATTATTTAAAAAATCCACGCTTATGGGTCACTAGGTGGATGAGAAAATTTCTTTAAAAAATCCACGCTTATAGGTCAATAGATGGTTGAAAAAAAATTCTTTAAAAAATTCACACTTATGGGTCAATAGGTGGTTGAAAAAATTATTTAAAAAATCCACGCTTATGGGTCAATAGGTGGTTGAAAAAAAAAAAATATTTAAAAAATCCACGCTTATGGGTCAATAGGTGGTTGAAAAAAAAAATATTTAAAAAATCCACGCTTATGGGTCAATAGGTGGTTGAAAAAAAAAAAATATTTAAAAAATCCACGCTTATGGGTCAATAGGTGGTTCGAAAAAAAAAAAATATATATATATATATATATATATATATCTAAATTATGGGTCTTAAAAAATCCACGCTTATTATCCACGCTTATTCTTTAAAAATCCACGTCACGTCCACGCTTAGGTGGTTGAAAAAATTTCTTTAAAAATCCACGTTCAGAAGGTGGTTGAAACAAATTATTTAAAAAATCCAAGCTTATGGGTAAATAGGTGGTTGAAAAAATTATTTAAAAAATCCAAGCTTATGGGTAAATAGGTGATTGAAAAAATTATTAAAAAAATCCACGCTTATGGTTCAAAAAACAATTATTTAAAATATCCACGCTTATGGTTCAGAAGGTGGTTGAAAAAATATTTTAAAAATCCACACATATGGTTCAATATGTGGTTGAAAAAAAATTCTTTAAAAAGTTCACGTTTTTGTATTGACCAAACTCAAGGTGGAGCTTATATTTGCAGATTTTTCTCCCAAAGATGTCAATTATTTATTTTATTAAAATAAATGAACTCAATTCGATATATTTAAAATCAAGATATAACGAGAAATCCTCTTCCTAAATTGTAGTTATGGAAAAGACACAATTTTACTTCTTTCAAGGAGATTTAAAGGAAAGAAATCCATGTATGTTTACACATGTAAGTGTCCATCCATTATCGCCATCATAGTTTACAACACAACACATATTTGACTTAAGTGGTTACTTCTTATACATATGTAATTTTAACAAACCAAATGCTTTCTAAACAAAAGTCTAATGACAGCATTTAATACTCTTGTTGACAACTATAAATAGTTTTGACAATTTTTCATACCTGTTTTATGCATTCTGGGAAAACCCGGAAATTCCATTTAAATACCACACACACAAGTTTACAAGTTTCTGTAACTCGAAAACCGCATACAACTTACAACTTATGTTTTCATATGGTTAACTGGAAATATCCTTAGGTATCATAAGGATACAACTATAAATATGAACAGAACATATGTTTGTGGTGGACGACAGCATTTACCATTTTGTTGGGAAAAGTCATAGAAATTCGAAGTTATGGGAGGGTGAGGGAAATGACACAACAAATTTTAGAGGTTTCATGTGTAAGTACATTTAAAATTCATATTTACATATCTATTTATTGACTCTGATGATTGGAAGGTGAAACATATTTTGAAATGCTATGAATATGTTAAAGTCTTAATATATTTGTTAAAAACATTGGAAACATGATTTTATAGGCGTCATTATAAAAATATCCTCATATAAAAAATTATTTAACAAATTCGCACTTAAATCTACAGATGGTAGAGAAAAATTCTTGAAAAAATCCGCATATAAAAAATTACTAATGATAATACATAATAACGGTTTCTACTATTCACTGATCCCAATTATCCAAATACGATGGTACCATACAGACCTTACTTGACTCTCATTGACTTCTGCCGAAGTTGTTTCAATCGTAGATGACAAATCATGGAACTAAACGGATTATTCCGAAGCCAAGCTGAAATCGGCAGTGAGGACAAGTCCAATGAATGATGTTCGTGGAAGAAGATATTTTAAGCAAATTGTCATGTTTTTTTCGCAAAACTGGTCATGTAGGACTCAAAAAACGCAGAAAAAAATGGTTACCATAATTTGTTTGCAGAAATTGCAGAGAAATTGAAAAAAAGACCAAGAGAGGACAATCCAAAACGTTGCCCACGCACGTTGCTCCATTCATACCTCAAAAGATTGGAACTCATCTTCAAACTCACATATATTAGGTTGGGGAAACGTCGAAAATGTAGATAAAATCGGAGAAATGATCGAGGTTGACCGGCATCTTAGCAGTCGTAACATCACCCAGGAGCTAAAAATCGACCATAAAACTGTTTTAAACCATTTACACAAAGCTGGATTCAAAAAGAAGCTCCATATTTGGGTGCCACACCAATTAACAGGAAAAAGGATGCATCGAATTTCCATCTGCGAAGCCTTGGCCAAACGGAATGAGATACTAAAGGGATGATGAAATGAATGGAGATGAGAGACTTCGGGAGCTTGGTTGGGAAGTTTTAATGCATCCGCCATGCAGTCCGGACTTGCCACCAATCGATTTTCATATTTTTCATGCATTGCAAAATTTCTTTAACACTAGAAAGACGGGCATTTTGTATATACCTATATTGCCTAAAATCGGTCAAAATGACCTCATTCTGAAAGAATTTTTATTGTGTAAAGAAATTTTTTTAAACTAATTTTTTACTATTTTTTACATTATTTACAATCATACAAAACGTTGTTATTATTTGTTTTCGGTGGTAGGGCTCTCGAGTTTCCCCTTTTGAAAAATAAGAGCGCGGACAAAATGTTCGAAAAAAAGGAAGTCTTTACTCTGAAAGTGAAATCGACTGAAAATATAAAATTAATTTTTCCCGATTTGTATGTTCGTTTGTGTTTCTAGAGTAGCAAACGGGTTTCGATGTTGTTGTACTGATCTGGTCATATAAGAAATTTACTTTATACAATAATAAAAGTAGTTTGATTATTCAATATTTCACAAAAGGTCAAAATGACCGCTTTTAGGCAATATAGGTATAGCACATGTGAATACGGGGAATGAAAGAAGCAGCTACTATGATTAATAGAGGGAGGAAGCAGCTACCGTAGTTCTATGTGGTACAAAAAGTCACCTAATTTTAAAAAGCTGGGTCATAATATACACAATTGTTTTTGTACTTGAAATTGAAAAACAGTCAAAATGACTGCCTTCGGCAATCTAGTGTTAATGATAAAAAATTTTTATCTAAAGAGGGTAGTGAAAATCGACTACCAAAGTTTTTTTTTTTTTTTTTTGCAAATAGAGAGCAGCAATTCTATGAGAGGCTCATTATGAAGTTACCTTTAAAATGACAACAAATCATACAACCAAATCGCCAATTCCGAAGCATGTTAAATAAAGTCCTATAGTTCATATAAAAATAATGGATTTCTTTTCCCCAACCTAATATATTATGTATAAACAAACCCTTTATCGTAGGATTTGCTTACTCTTTTGAAGAGCAACAAGTAAAAACGTAGTTTAGATAAGACCCGATCGATTTTTTTTGCCCCTCATCATGAGCTGCATATTCAAAATATCTAAAATCGATCGGAACATTTATATGGTAGCTATTCCATGACAAATTGCAACCAGGAGAAAACGAAATATCAAACACGGTTGGAAATTTTGGACTTGAAAATACCGAAATTCTCAAAATATCAAAAATTATGGGTCAATTTATATGAGGTCTATCTATACGAACATATTTTGATATAGAACCCAAAATATTAAATTAAACCCAATTTGGCTGAAAATGCTATTCAAACCCTTCAAAATACCGAATTAGGCGGGTATGCGAAACATGGTGTAATATTGATAATTGTTGGTAGAAATATGCTCTACCCAATGAGAATATCAAATATAAAATTATATTCAATTTAATTGGTAAACGCGCTCATACTCCTTGGGGATGTACCGTTAAATTGGTGATGATATCGCAAAAACAGGAACAAAATTGATCATTTTAATTGGGACATGTTGCGATCCCAATATTAACCCAGATAACCCCAGAGATTTTTTCTTCAAAATTTTAATGTTAATTTTAAACATAAATATTTAAATAATAAATAAGTATTTTTTTGTAACATGAAGCTGGGAAGGTATAGACCAATGTACAACATTATTATCATCATTTTTTAATAAAACATTATTTAAATAATTCTTTATGGTAATAATAAATATCGCTCGATTAAGCATTTGGTAAGAAATTAAAAAAATATGTTTCATTATCTATGCAAATGCGTATGACTGAGGTCGGAAATTACTAATTAAATTTAGTGACAACTTTTGTTAATTTTTACAAAATTAGTTTTTACTTTTTATTAACCTTTTTTTATTAGATATAATAACTTTTATTTCATAACTGAGTGTTAATACATTGCATAAATCGATATTAGATCATCTTAATTAATTGCTAGTTAGGAATTTTTATTAGGATTTACTGCTCTGCTGCTTTATTTATAAAATCGAATTCGGAACATTATATTGAGAACTGCAATTTTTGTTAAATACACATAGACGTTTGTAGGAGTATTGGTTATAATATATTATATGATGTTTTAAAAATATTAATAAAGCGTTGAATCATATTATGAAATATTTGTTTAGATCGGTTTTCTATATAATCATTTTCAATCATCTATATATGAATTTTCATGTTAAAAATTATTTGTTTATCCTTTGTGTCCGGCCTAATTATAATTTATTATATTATTGTATGACTACAAGCATTATAACCCATTATTATCTCTTTAAAATATATTATATCACTTATTAAATATATGTTCTTCCATTATACCATTTATTAGTAAATATTTGATAAGGTTAAATCATTTTACCAGGATTTTGGGGAAACCATTTTGTTTTTGGGAATATTACGCCATTTTATTTCATCTAATCCCAAACTACTTCTCGACTCTACCACAAACAAAAACAATCACCCCCAGCCAAAAGGGAACGAACGTTAACAAGTGAAAAGAAATCATTTCTTACACATACTTTACTCACCAAATACCATTGTTCCTTGAACAAGGGATCAGGGAAAATTGTATGTGGTCCAGCATCACGATATTGTATGCGTGGAGCACGTGTTAACCCATTACGATACGCGGTATCGGGTCCGGTCATTACATGCAACGAGGGTAAACTACCACCGAAAGCAGTCGTTTGACGTAATATATCATAGGGACTATAACCGGGTAGCGAGGAATAGGAACCATCACGTTTCTGACGAATTTTCTCGTGTTGTTGTTGGATCCATCGGACCTGAAAGGAAACAAATGTACACGATTTTATTATAGGATATAAGTAGAACGTATTTTTTTTTAAATAAAAAAAATCGTTAACCACAAATTAAATGAAATCAGGGAATCTATAGAGAGATGGGAAACAACAGCATTAGTTGTCTTCTGCCATAATATGCCCATTAAATACGTGTTACAATATTTTATAAAAATAATAAACTGGGATTATGTTTGAATATTTTGAAATAATTATTATAAAAATAAATTATAAAATTCTATTAAACAAAAACTAACAGTATGTTAATTTAAAATTAGAAGAAGTTCCAGTGAAATAAAAAATACATAAATTAAATATTTTTTAAAGCCATGATGTTTGGTGTCGAATTTTACAGATAGTTTTACTTATTTTTTTTAACATACCTCTGGTTCCGAATTTAAGGCTTTATGGTGTTCATCACTGGTTCTAAGGGATCGCTTTGAGACATGTTTATGATGGAAGAGATAATAATCCTTTAAAGCACCAATCTAAAATAAAATAAGAAAATATATAATTAGAGAATGAAAAAATTACAAATAGAATACTGGAAATTATCAGTATATCTATATATATAAAAATGAATTGCTGTTCGTTAGTCTCGCTAAAACTCGCGAACGGCTGAACGGATTTTTCTTATCTTAGTCTTAAAATATTCGTAGAGCTTCAGGGAAGGTTTAAAAGGTGAGAAAAATTTAAAAATCGCGAAAAATTTGCAAAAAAGAAAAAATATTATGAAAAAAAATATTATGAAAAACAATACTATGAGAAAAAATATTCATTTGTCAAATATTGAAAATTTTCAAAATATTTTATTTTATTCAATTGGCATTGTAACGAAACTTTTTTTCTAAGAATGCAAAACAATAATTGAGATGAATTCGCGATCATTGTATGTACACGTTTTCCATAAAATTCACGTACATTTTGGAACAAATGCAAGGATGAAAATCTGAAGATTCAGAAAGAGTTCTGATTCTAAGACACGTGCCCTAGATTATTCTTCTTGAAAATAATAATAGGAACATGTTGTTATTGAAGTACCTAAAATGTACCATTATATGGTGGTTATATGCCTAATCGTTGGTCAATGTCTTTAATCGCATATGTGTATCACAGAGAAAATTAAGTTCATATTGAAAGAGAACAACTATAAAAAGCATTTGTTATAACAAAGATGGACATGTTACCTCAATATGTCAACTACCAATATATTTAATACCATGAAAAATCGTTGTTAAGATCGAACTTTTGTACTTCCTAATATGTAGATTCGTTAAATCGGCCGGGACATTTATATGAGGACTATGTTACACAGTATGTGTAGTAGATTGGAAAACGGGGGGTAAGAACTTCAACATACTGAAAATTAAACAGGAAATATGTATGGCGCCTTTTTATTGCATTAAGCCAAATCCATGATCCATCCATTCCGTCAAATTCTTTACAAAACCGAAAATGGTGCGGGACCCGTATGTAGGAGCTATACAAAACTTGGTCCTGAATAGAAATGTTTCCGCAAATGTGTTTTACCCTTTCAATATCACGGAATGATATATGTTATGAATGATATAGGATACTACAATGGGTATGGATATATACTAATACCACATGAGAAAATACCGAACAATAAGACCATATCATTATATGTATATCATTATATGGGCTTACCCGGACCAATTTGCACCAATATTGAGAATTTTTTGTAAACAGGTTTTCTTCATCCAAAATAAAACATTACAGCACTTCGGCTGAAACACTCCCTAAAATACCGAACTCCTCAAAGTACCGACTATTGTGGGTACCTCAAAGATTTAACCAATATTGACAATTTCAGTACGATTCATTCTACCAAATATACAACCAAACGTGCCAAAATCCCCCACAGTATCGAAAAAGGTGGATTACTATTACATGGGGGATATTTGAAAGCTTGGGCGAACATAACATTGCAGCCAAATACCGAATATTAAGGGATGCCGTTAGATGGGGATATCCGAATACTTGAGTCAATATGGAAAATTCTAATTAGGGAGAATTTCTGCCCAATAAGTATCCCTAATATTAGGTTTGGGAAAAAGAAATCCATTAGACCGGTGGAACGATCGAATTTTACAGGCATGTCGTAACATCTTCCAGGAGCTAAAAATTAAACCATTCACACAAAGCTGGATTCAAAAATAAGCTCAATGGTTGGGTGCCTCACCAATACCAATACCGCAATTTCAGAGCACTATCTTAAAGATAATTTAATATTGGGCTATCGTTATGTGAATTATACATCAACAATATTGCTATGCAAGACAACGTTTGCCGGGCCGGCAATGTTGAATGTTGAAGTGTTCGTGAATCTTCAGGGAAGGTTTAAAAGGTGAGAAAAATTTGAAAATCGCAAAAAATATTTTGAAGCATATTTGCATTTCCGTGAATTTAGTATCGAGCTATATGGAAAGCACCACGTCGTAGTTGTTATTTTGAGGTATTTTGAGCGAAAATTGGTAGCGTATCATTCCTTTAAGCCTACATTTGTCATTTATTAAAATTTTTCAAAATATTTAATTTTTTTTTAAATTGGATTGACATTGTATTGAAATTGAGAAGTATATTATTGAATGCACACGCGATCATTGTATGTACACGTTTTCCATAGAATACAGGTACATTTTGGGACCAATGCAAGGATGGAAAATCAGAAGACATTCTGAATCGAGTTCGTGGCCATTCAGGATATTCGGATTCTAAGATCCATGCCCTAGATTAATATGTTTGAAAATAATAATATGAACATGTTGTTCCTTAAAGTAAATGAAATGTTTATATGCAACGGGAAATATGAAATCAGGTGGTTAAATGCCTAATCGTTTTTCAATATCTTTGAACTTATAAACAGACCACGTCGCATATATCCCATACCAAAAATGTGTATTACAGAGAAAACTAATATACGAGATATTTTCTTTGCAAAACTCTATCATTAAGTTCAGCTGTAAAGAGAACAACCGACAAAAAACCAGCAAAATTAGAAAAATAGCATAATATCTAATTTGATGGTTGTACGAAAACCTCCATCCGATGTTACCTATTCGTATTGAACATGCCAACTACCGATAACACTCAGATTGGAAAACGGGAGTAAGAACCTTTAGATATAGTGCATAACTTCTGGGATGATGTTATGCCAAATTATAGCCAACTCTATGAGAAGATTAGGTCAATGTATTGAAAATGGGGCGAGACCTGTATGTATTGCTATATCAAAACTTGGACCTAAATAGGTAATTTTTCGCAGAAATGTGTCTCACCTCCAATTTCAGAGCACTAACTCAAATCGTGGAGGGTAGAAAAAGCTAACTTATTATTGGCCTATCGTTATGTGAATTATACATCAACAATATTGCTATGCAATACAACGTTTGCCGGGCCCGCTAGTTTATTATAAAATAGGTATTCAACAAAATCGGAACACCCATCTGCTGTAGAAAAACCTAATAATGAGTTGTAAAAATACATATTTTAAATTCAATATCCCATATATAGGGTAAACATGTACCTAGTAGAAGGGGAAAACATATAAAATATGGGGGAAGAGCTCAATTTCATATTCAGAATAAACCGAAATATCCTACAATAGAGAAATTAGTTTGGCGGAACCTCAGAGAATGCAACATCGTTGGTCGAATAATGAAAGAAATGGTTATGTAGGGTGCTTTACGGATCTAAGTCTATAGACAAATGTCTACAAATGTTCTTGAATCAAAATACCTTATAAAGTACGGAAAATATCATGTCAGGTCAATAGGACCCAATGAGAAATTAGAATTTCTGAAATTTGTAAATTTTATAACAGAGCTTGGGTCAGTTATTTGATATCGTATCGACAGGACATCGTATAAGATATTTCTGGGGTTATGTTATAGCAGATTTTTCCCGAAGCGTTTTAAGCTTGCAGACTAGACTTCTATCTTCTATAGATAAAAGTATTAATTTATATAGACGGGTCTTTTATATGTAAAGTAATCTGTGAAGAATCGGATTCCATATAGCATCTCTTTAAGGATCTGTTGTCTATAAATAGCCCTTTAAAAGAGTTGATGTGCATAAAGGACTCTTAAGAGACCCTTATATCCTCCGTGTATTGTACACTATTTTAAATGTTTATTATCTACAAAAACCCCTTTTTGGAGATCTACTGTCTATGTAGGATCCCTTACACTAACCGACCTACTAGGAAAAAAGAGCCGTCTATAGAAGGCATTTGAAATGGTCGTAGAGTACCATTGAAAGGGTCTTTTCTCTATAGATGAACACTTTACAGAGTCTATGGCTTATGAAAGACCTTTCTATGTATAGAGGTTCATTTAATCGGTCTTCGACCTATAGAAGGATCTTTCAGAAATATTCCGTTTATAGAAACTCCTTTAAAGGATATATTATACCCTTGAAAGGTTTTACCTCTTTAGAGAAACCCTTTGGTCTACGACCTATGGAAGATCTTTCTGTGTACAGATGTCCCTTTATTGCGTCTTCGGCCTATAGAGGGTTCTTTAAGGAAAATTCTGCATATAGAAAATCCTTTAAAGGGTATTCGACATATATAGGACCTTCAAACTGCCTTTTAGACATTCGACTCGAATATAGATAGATATTGAAATGTTTTTATGACCGTAGAGTACCTTTTAAAGGGCGATGTTTGTAGATGACTATTTAAAAAATCTGCTGTCTATTAAGAACCCTTTTAAGAGTTTTCTGACTATAGGTGAAACTTTAAGGGTTAATCTGTCAAGAAATGATCTTTTAAAGGGTCATCGGTCCATAGGATATATTTTTACGGGACTTTTTTCAATAAAAGGCATTTTAAAAGGTGTTGAAGAATTGTCTACCCATAGAAAATTTTTAAAAGCTTATTCTTCATACTGCCTTCTGTCTGAAGGGCTTATATGAGCTCTGTTATATAGGTATATTTGGGTATATTTGAAGGAGATGAAGAAGGAGGTGAAGACATGTAAACTCTATTTTTTTCATAGTCCTCTAAAAGGTATTTTGTCACAAAATTGACATTCAAAAAATATTCCATCATCAAAAAAGGCCTTCTGGGCTTTTGAAGGGCGATGCTATTTTTGATTGGAGTTCGGCTGGTAAAGGACTTTTGAGAATGTTTTTGAGAAAGGCTTTCTAAAGCCATGTCTACATAAACGATTTTGAGGGTATATGAGGGATATATTTAAAAAGTATGCTGACTATACAATTTATTACTACTTTATGGATATTTTTTTAAATTTTAATTATTTTTTCAACATATTTTTAATCAAATTCGATACTCTTCTGTCAGCTTAATTCACGACTCATATAAATCATTTTGAATATTTTACCCCACAATTTTCAACCGAAGGGGCTGTAATTATGAATTACGATTTTTCGAGTTCAAAAAAGGTGTGAAAATTGTAGCATGAAATGTTCAACGTATACCGATTATCACGAAAACGTCCCCCTA